GACATAAGTTAAATAATCAGATAAATTTCGGAGTATATACGTAGCACGATTTAGAACCTTGCTTTGTTTAATTTATTGATATCAAGTAAGGTTTATGAACGAATGGCCCATTGTTATTGGGCTTTGATAAATGTTATTGGGCTTTTGGATTCGTTCTTCTTTCACCAGATGGGCTTGAAAACGTATGGCCCATTGTTTCTTTGTTTGGTTTGTGTCAAAGACTCTGTTTGAACATAAGGAGTTTCAGCTTCAGATGAGAGTTGTTGATGGCTTTGGTTAATACGAGTGAGCAACAATTTATGTGTTTAAACAGAATAAAAAAAAACAATATGTGTAACTAATATATATCTCTATACGATCACTAGGGCAGTTGAAACATATAATATCATCCATTGGAAATGAAATATTCAACATATATAAGTCATTAATTTTCAAAATAAGAGACTTTTAGAGAAAACAAAACTGAAAAACAAGAGGAGGAATTATGGATATTTTGCTAAGTTCGTTTTCTTTTGTGTCCAGATGTTCCAGTACCTTCATGGAATCTAACCAAACTCGGAACATAAGAAAAAGTAACTAACCACCTGAATAAGTTAGGAGATTCACCAAGAGAGATTTTTCTGAATATAGGTTCTTCCTTTCCAATAATGTGTACGAAGTTTGTGGTGAGACATCCATCGGAATTAGAACAAACAACAACTCTCTTATCATGGTCGATGTAGAAATTGCGTAATATTTGTCAAGGCAAGGAATGTCTAATAAACTCACTTTTAAGAAGTTGCTCCACGACACGTTTGTGGTCTCAATCTTCGTACTCACCCATATCCGCAACTCTCGTCCATAATAGTTGTAATGTAACGCGGACAGTTGTTCTTCTCTAACAACTGCTAGAGAAGTATGACCACCAAAATTCTGAGTTGGAGAAGGCAGAAATCGAAAATTTTCTGATGAAAAGTCCAGTCTTAATAGTATGTCATCTAAACCATTGAACTGTCTCTCTTCGTGTGAAGCAAGCCAGTAAATATGTCCCTTCAAAGACACACTATTAGAGCGTATCTTGCAGTTGGGATCATCAAGAACCCTCCATAAGTTAGAGCAGAACTCATAGATTTCCATTCTTGTAGTGAAAGTGAAATGCCTCAAAATTTTGTAGCTGCGGCACTCTTTGTTGTTTGTGTATCCCAGAGCATATGTATCTGCACGCTCATACGGCTCTCTAGGTTTGAGCCACACGGTTTGACCAGTACATGGATTCCAAACCGCCAATACTTTATCCATGGTGACGCATAACAATAAACCCTCACAATGAAAAACTTGACATAAACCAACTTCTACGTTACGATGAGGATCGATTAGGCAAAGTCTATGTGAAAACTCTATAAATGGATCAACGTTATTCTGAATTCCATCGAGATTGAAGCTCGTTGAATAAACTCCATAATACATCTCTGTGATAACAAGAGACTGCCTCACCACTTTGGCAAAGTGTTTTTCGATGAATCTCGAATCTTTGAGTAAAGCGTTCCAACGTTTGCAAGTGAACCGTGATTTGCCTACCAATGTCGCCGGAACCCTAAAAAGTATCTCCTCTATCATATCACTTGGAAGATCGGAAATCCTCATAGTTTCAACAGAGGCTGTCTTATGTCCAAAACTATGTAAGTCAGGGTTTTAGACTTTCACTCTTATCGAAAACTTGTAAAATATATTCTCAAGGATTAAGATTATGTATTTATTCCCGAGGGCTAACATAGAGAAAAAGAAGCTGACGATAAGTTATAAAATATATCATATTATTTCAATATGATATTAGTTTTTTTTTTTGGATTGAATCAATATGATACACCCAATCGTTATGCGTCAAGTGAGACCTTCTTCCAGCTCTATCGACACGTGTGTTGATCTCCCTCTGATGTTTGTCTCCTCGCAGTCTCCCTACGCAATGACAAACCAATCGGAACTGCTCAGCCCTGCTCACCGTCGCCTCTGTACCCTCCGGTACCGCCGGATCCACCGGACCAGTCTCGACATCACACAGATCTGCTTGTGTGCTACCTCCGTCACCGGATAATCATCGTTCTCCCGCCCCCACCTCACTATTCGGCTTTATCTCCGGAACCACCGATGGCAAGACTTCCATTGTCGGGATCTCATGTCGTCACCTCCATCTCGAAAGAGTCCTTCTTTGCCGATCAGTCTGGTGGTGGTTCTGGCACGGGAACCAACCGGACTCCTCAGCAACCGCCTCCATTCCATGCGCCACCTCCGGAGAATCCGACTCCGGCGCCGACTCCCTTCCTTCCCTCTTCGGCCGTGACAGTCGATGCAAACAATCCCACCTTAGGCCTGCTTCAAACGTTATTGGGCTTGACCCAATCATTCTATTATGGCCCAATAATGAAATACTCAAGACCAGATCTAATGGTTGCTGTTTATTCTTGTTTTACCGAGAAAGGATCTGCTCCTACGGATTTGGAACTCGATAAACATATGAGCTTCTCATCGCTACATATTGTAAGATCAAAGTTTTCTAGATTCTCAAATCTTGTATATGATGAGTTTGATATTTTCTCGATAAAGAGAAGATTAAAATTTCTAGATTCTCGGAGGTATGAGAATTCTTCCAAAGTCACGATTCAAAATGACTAAACCAATAGTCTCCGGCTTAGCCGTAAAGACGATCTTGACGCATTTGAGGCTTTCCTCGGATCCACTGTCCATCCTTCGCGATGATTTATCTTTTCTAAGTTTTATTGCTTTTAATTTATGTTGTGGAAATTTAAGAGGATATCTAATTCCCTCTTCTTATATGATGCAAATTTAAGTTAATGAAGAAGAATATGTCAGGAAAAAAAAAGAACATGGTACAAATATATCCATTTTAGCAAATTTATGTTTAAAATAGTTTCTAACAGTGAATTATAATTTTTTGCCAAATATGATTTTAAACAATTTATAATTAAAACATATGTGGTTACAAAACAAAAATAAACAATTGATATAAATAGTGAACTTATATGGATGTCAAAACAAATCAAAATTCATAAAATTTATGTGGGTCGATCCAATCCAATCTGACCTGAGTTTGAAAGAAAATTGACCATAATAAGGTAATGGATAAAATGGGTTGGGTTGATGGTTTGAAATGGGTTATTTATACTTTTTTTTTCAAAACCACAAAAACGATTCCGCATCTTTTCGTAGTAAACACAATTATATAACTTTTTGACCGAAAATACAATTTCACAGTTTTTTTTTGCCAGAAAACTTTTTTTCCATTTTTTTGCGATTTACAAGATCCTACTCCCTCTGTTCCATGAACATTGATGTCCTAACTTCTTTTGTTGTTCCACAAAGATTGATGTTCTAGCATTTTTTATTGATTAGTATTAACAAAATGTAAACTTCAAAAAATATTAAATAAAAATATTTGAATTTATAAAATAACTATTGGTTCCTAATTGTTGAAAAATGTTTAGGTGTACTAATAAATAAATAAAATTTATTGTTTCTTAATTTGTGTGAAACTAGTAGAACATCAAATACA